TTTCTACCTAGGAAATTCTTTCCGGTTAATTGAACCCAAATGTTTCGTTGCCATATCTTTCTCAAACATCATTAAATGTTTGAAAACTGATTTTTGTGAAACGCTTAATACCCTATCTCACGTGTCACTTAGATTGTTTGTAGTTAACGACGATAAATTAATGCCCATAGAAATTCCTAAACTTCTGAAACTATTTTCGAACCGAATATCATTACATATGTTACAAACTATCGAGTACACTATCGAGTATAAAGTATAATAAAGTATATTTTTCAATTTATTTCAGTTTTGATAAACAAATATTTTATCTTTGTGAAATAAACGTTTCATGTTTCAAAATGTGCTATCATTTCGTCCACCATACATTCTACATTTTATGAAGAAATATACAAACGCATATTGAACAACAACATTAATCCTAAAATATTATTCGTTAAATTTTGACAATTTTGAATCTATTTTAAAATGTTTAATGTTAGTACACGAGGAAAACTCAGAAGTATACAAATGACTACAATATGAATTCCAGTATAATGGATGTCGCAATGAATATATATACATAGCAGACTCTATTTTATTAACGCTCGTGATCGACTAAATAGCACGATAGCGAATAAAATACAATGAAATTTTAACGGTTCTCTTCTCTTATTCTAATAAACGGAAATAAGATTGTGTTTCTTTGATACAGGTATTTGTTTCGGGTTGGATATAAGTAGTATATATTATTTTCGTCATGCTAAAAATATTTAACGATTTATTTTCCCCATGAATGCTTTAAAAGATGTAAAGGGGAAATGCATTTGTCAAAATTATACGATGATAGACGTTAAAAACACTGTTTATTCTTGGTAACGCAAAAGTCTACTCCTAATAATTGAAACGAGGATATCCTCGGGATAAGACAATGTAATAAAATGTTGTCAAATTGAAACGACGTATTTCGGGTCATCAATTCAAGCGAAACAACCTAGAAGTAATAATAGATGTTCGTAAGCTTCGAAGCCCTCACTTACTCCAGGTTTCACAGAACTTGCATATGAACTTTACTCTCATTGCTGAAAAGTTTAAAATGGTACAAGACTGGATTGTCGAACATGACAATAATGCCAAGTGGTGATCAAGGGGTGATTAGCTCCTAACTTTAACGATGTAACGATTTTAAAACGACCATCACAATCTCCATCGACTCAAGTCGACTCAATTCAACCATTTAAATTTTAAATATGACATGGAAATATTTATAAAACATTTCCTACTCTTGTGATTAAATTCTTTTCGTATACATAGAGTTTATCTAGATAATCTTCGTTAGTGAAGGAAGATTACATGGACATCGGACAAAGTGAATCAGAATAAAATATGAAAATACTGGGAGCTCTCAACCTCATATCTAGAAACACCATATAACACCACTTTATATATATATAGCGACTCTGAGTGTAATAAAAGCTATAATGAACTTAAATGAAAAAAAAATAATTACAAATCATCAAAAATATCCTGGAAAAGTACACCAAGCATACAAATAAAAACAAAAACATAACTGTTACCTGGGTACCTTTCCACCAAGGCATAACTGACAACGAAAAAGTAAATGTTATTGCAAGAGAAGTGGCAGCAACAATGATACGAAATAAAGAAATACCAGTCCCGTACCAAGACTTTATAAAGACATTATACAGATACAACATACATCGAAAAAGGAATGGAATAAAATATGGAACAACAAACGAACAAAAACTCACAATGTAACACGCGATTTTTACCAATCAGTACCTCAAAGTGTTACAACCAGGGAAGATAAAATAATAATGACTAGATTGAGAACTGGATACTCAAAAATCACACGTGAACATCTACTAAAGAAAATTAACCCTCCCCACTGCCACTCCTGTAGTAAGGAAATTACAATTTACCATCTATTGTACGAGTGCAGAAGATTTGAGCTATAGAGAAGGAAGTACAACCTGAACTCAAAAACATGTATAAAACACCATAAACTATCTCAAAGACACTAAACTCTACAATAGTACATAGTGACATTAATCGAACAGAAATTTAATTACATCCGTCGCCAATTACCAGGCAGTAGATGCGACGAAAAATAAAACTAAATAAAAAAAAAAAAATACAAAAATGTAAAAAATTCGTTCAGCCCTTGCATTCGGACAGCAGAGTGAAAAAGTCTGCCTGACCAGAAACTTTTACACTCCAGTATGTTCGACGCAGGCTAAAATAAGAACGAATAGAGGAAAGTTCGATGTCAAAGGATTCCGGAGGGTTGAACTGCGCAAGGTTGCCTGAAAGTTCAGCTTTCCAGTGGGAAGGTCAATTATACCGTCGATACTGAAACCCGAGTCCTTGGACAAGTATCATGGTCGCCGCGCCGGATAGAGATGCGATGGATCGAGTCGAAGGACGTCGTATTAATCGCGCGGGAGAAGTTGCATGAATCAGAGAAAGGTTGACGGGTGACAGAGAGAGAAAGAGATGAGGAGAGAATGATGGAGACTAACGTAAGACACGTGGACGCCCGTACGTCCAAACGTAAATGGAGAGGCGCGAAGGCAAGTCGGATAATGAGAATAAACGCCTAACGGTTAAGCACGGCCGCTCGTAACAACTGCTAGACACCCGATTCTGAATAATTCATCGAAAACGCACGCTCGATTAGGCAACCCCGCAACCACGGTCACCCTTCGGTGGATGCGTCTCGTCGCCCTCCGACACCCCAATCCTCTTTCTACAAGACGCCCGCGTCGCCTCCGCGACGACGACGCTGCATAGGCAAAAGAGCCTGCGAGTTTCGTCCCGACGATCTCTTCATTTTTTCAACTCTCAAATTTACAAACGACGATGTCGACTTTGCTCGTTTATCGCACTGTTCAAACTCTTACAGTGGCTGTAGAAAGTTTTCCGATCAATTTCCAAAAAAACTATGTGAAATTATAATTTATTAACTTCTTTTTTATAAACATCGATATTCTACATATTCTTGGGAATCTCTAGAATAGATACAGTACAACAAAAAATTAGTTATTTATATGAGTTGCAAAATCAACAAGAAAAAACAATATATCGATAGAAATATAGAAGCAATGAGCATTTGTACAATTGTTACATTTTTAAAACTTCATAAAAAGAAAAACAATTTTACAATAACCTATTGCTTCTATACGATTCTATACATTTTACAGTTACTTATTGCTTTTTCGTATCTTCTTGTTAATTTAAGAATATGTAGAATATCATTGATTATAAAAAAAGAAGTTGATAAAGTACAACTTCACACAAAAGTTTTTTGAGAAATTGATCGGTGTACGAATACATCCTACACCCTCTGTAGGTATATCAAAGGTCTTGCTGCTTATTTGATGGGATTACGAAGGAATACTATATTATGAACTTCCGCTACGATTCTACACGATTAGTAATGCAGAAAATACTATTCAATCTGGATCATTTGAAAGCAATTATACAAGAGGAACGATCCTATTGAAATTACAATCAAACGTGACAATTACTCATCTAATAGTAGCACTCATTGTCAGAGAGGGGTTGTCGTGCTCTTTTTCGAAAATATTGACGGAAATGCACCAGACGTACTGGACCGTCGACCCCGGCTGAAAATTGTCTAAGTCCCCACTCGTATTGGTATCAACACTAGTAACACATTCCCGACCTGCAGATATTTTACGTTTCTAATAAATAATAAAATTCTGAAGCTGGACATCGCAAATTGGTATCGTTAGGGCGAAGACAAAAATTACAAAATACGGTTTGAAATATCAATGTTGTAAATATGTAGTGTATAAAATAAAAAGATTTTCATAATTTTGTAAAAACCAGGAATAGAATTTGAATATAAATTCGGCCGCGAATGTGTTACATTAAAGTTGCTACGCTACTTTTCCGTTTATCGATGCTTTCAAGTTTAGGTTAAATTGTAGCGTAAAGAATAGAATAATGGCAATGTGTGCTAATTTTTTCAGAGTTGAATCATTTTCAAAACGAAGCACTAAGTAGTACACTAATTATTCTTCCTAATTTTTTAGATGTTTGTGGTGAAACTGATTCGCGTTTGTATCAGTGATGAAACCAATCGAGGTGATCGCCCTTCACGCTCGACAGAAACAGATTATCGCCCTCTTATCAAAACTTTGATAAAGCAAACAGAACGGAAAAGGAAACCGCAACCGTTTCGAATCCGATTAAACACTCATCAACTTTCCTCCGCGCATCGAGTTTTATACCCATGATATGATTTTATTAGTTTCTTCCGTTCTTTCATCCACCCCTACGCCTTTTCCAAGTTTCCCCTACTATTTCAGTAGTCTTGTCTTCGTGTCCTCTTTTTATTCTTTACAGCTTTTTCTGACATTTATTGCATCTATACTGCTTTATCGGAATGCTATCAACAACGTCATCTCTCTTTTTTTCAGATCCATCAGTCCTTTTCAAATTTCTCTGTACTGTTTTCAGTAGCGCTCTTCTTGTTTTCTATTCTTGTGCAATCTATATTACGCTAATCTTCCAATCGTTCAAACAAGGATAAAAGAAGGAAAGAAAGAAAGATGCTCTATCCTTGTTCGACTGATTGACGGACAGCATTAAATGTAATCGACAAAAGCATCTTAACACTTTATTTACCGGGAGCCTATTTATAGGCTTTTTAATTGCAGTATTTAGTTATTCGAATTTAGTTACTGTGCCTATGGTTGTCTACTCATAATTTTAAATTATGGGAAACAGACTTGGTTTTCAATGTACCTAGTGACAATAGGGAGGAATTATTGCCAGCCTAGATTGGCATATGCTACTGTAGAAAATTCTTTCTTGAATTAAAGACTGTTTCTAAATAGCCCGACAGATAAAGTGTTAAGAAGTTAGCGCGAATAGAACCAACACAGCAACGTGAGCCCCACTCTTCCCACGGCTTAGTTACGAGCGATACTGTAGTCGCACGACTGCCAGTTAGGACAAGGCGTTACATAGACAAGAATTTTATTTGTTTCTTAAAGTTGTTTATTTAATATATTTAGTTTGTCAGCTCGAATAACGATTGCCAATCGCCATACGGTCAAATTAAACTCTGGACGAGTCCATTTTCAAATTTTCCCCCTGTGGGGCGTGGGTCCCACCTTAGGAAATACTGCTCTAACAATTCACTGGTACTCTACTCTCTCGTTTCTACACTTCTACCCCATTCCTTCTCTTTCCTTCCTTGCATCTATGCAACTTCATCTCTCTACTAACACCTTCCCTTCTTTTCCCGCATCAGTCAGCCCCTTCCCCGTCTCCTGCTCTCAATTTCTTTCCATCTCGAATCTCCTGCGTTCTCTCGTTTCTCGCATTCCGCTTCATCCTTCTTTCCATCTTGCCTTCTTCCATCAAACGCCTCTCGCGCGCGTCTACTTTAAAATCACGCGCAGATCATCTAATTGCTACGAAATAAAATAAGGAAAAGGAGCTGGAACGCTATCGTTGCGCGACCCTCTTTTCCCCGATCGCGGAAACGCTCGCGAGACGTTATATAAACGCAGAGAATCGTCCATCGTTTATGCAATCCGTGTCGCCCTCTTCGTTCCTCTTCTCTTAATCGAGCCTTTTTTCCGCTGGCAAGCGTCACGCGACATTTCTGCCGGCAGGAATGCGTGCCCAGCGGCATTCCTTATTGACATTACGGAGGAATCGTCGAGGTCGTCAGGTTCGAGTACCACTCCCACAGGCTCGGAAACAGGTACGGAAGAGGCACGCGGCTCAGGACAGAACTACTATTGGCGTTGGTTGGAGAGGAAGCCTACCTTGGCGGACGCCGTTACTCGCGGAGGCAGTACCGAGTTTATCTGAACACGATCGACTGATCGACATGGGGAATCGGTTCGATGCTTGTATCGCAGGTTGTAGAAGTGGGTTAATAGAGACCCGTCTATGGACACGGCGAATCACTACGTAGAAGTAAAGCAAAGGTTTCGTCGAACAGGAGAGATGGAATGGATACGTCAGAATGGGTCTAAACACTTTCGTCAAATGTGGTTAGCATTCTTTTCTAAGTAATAGGAGAATCACAAACATATTTTCTCGAATGAATACAGCATTATTCGATACCTTACAGTAGTCGCGTTTCATTAATATTTACGCGAGCTTTTCTTGTATAAGATATAAATATAGACTCTTATCCATGAAATAGTGTTCGAATTAGAATAGTGTATTTCATCTATTCATGTCGAAGTTACGATCATTTGAAAATAACGACTTCTTATTTTTCGCTAGATGGACTTTCTACTTCATCGGCTTTCTTAAGAACTTTCTCATCATACTGGCAATAAATAATTGTAAATTTATAATTTCTCGATACCTAATAAAGCGATGGGTTATCAGTAATGTAGAAATCCAAGCTACCTTAAAATTGATTATTTGTTAACATTTCCTTTCCTTTCAATCCTATGTTGTACGTATCAAAATATATCTACGAAGGAATTAAGAGGGGAGGGTCAAGTAAAATTCAAAATTTTGACCTTTTTTTTGGTTTAGAAAATTAGTTTACCATTTGGAGAATGCGCTCCGACCATTTCAGCTAAAACTTCGAAGTCTAAGTGTATCTACAGAGTCATTAAAGTGATGCGCTCCGAACAGTACACGAAGGACTATTTTTAAATTCGGAAACTTTAAACGCATTTTTCTCAAAACACAAAATTTCGCGTGCCGTGCAATGTAGCTTAGAGATTTCTCAGCCGATTGCTATGAAACTTGGCACAAAATATTCCTCAAATTATTCTTCTTTGCATCAATCTAAAGGTTTTTATAAAAAATTGAAATAAAAAATGTTTTAATCATTTTTTTATAACAACACTTTTCTAACGTGGCGTGAAATTTAAAATTAAAAATCTTTTTTTTTTAATCTAGGTTGATGCAAAGCGTGTTACTATATTTTAACGAAAAATTGGTGGATCTTTTATTTCAAATAATTAGAGTGATCTGTGCGTTGCACGGCGTATTTTCGAGAAGTCAACTTCAAACAGCTGCTGTTTATTCATTTATAAATATTTTTACATACGACAAAATTATATAGATTACGTAGATGCTACAAAATAACAAGTAATTAGTTGTAAATAAATATATATTACGCACACTTCAAAAATAATTCGCGAAAAAGCGGTTTTTTACTTGACCCTCCCCCCTTAAAACGTCATAAATCACTGAATTTCTAGTATTTATTCATTTTTATTGTTCTAGAATATTAACAAGAAAAAAAAATTTCTAGTATTTATTCATTTTTATTGTTCTAGAATATTAACAAGAAAAAAAAATTACCTTCATTCGATAAATGGATGTCAAAGTAAACATACTCCTTTATTACGCTTGGTTTCAATCACACGATGAGAATTTCAACTAAAAACTAAGGCAAAAATTTACTACGTTTCTCCGCGAAAGAATCGCATCCAAGGCGACGAGCAGTTCGAAATGAATTCGTTTGACCCACACCTTTCGTCGTAGCTTCGTAATTTCTTCTAGGTCACGCGAACTTAATTAGCCACAGCCAATAGCACAATCGCATTATGGCGCTGGTGTATGTATATGCTCCCACGTTATTAACGATTGTTCTTGTCCTACGCTACGTAGCCCCCCTTCGAATAACCTTCTATGAGCCATTCCACGTCAAATTGCATAAGATTTGGCACCTAGGTCATCGATTTTGGGCGTCGGCCTAGTTCTCTCATTCTATAAAAGTGCAACGTTCAATGTTTTGAAACTGCAGCAAGTTAAAACAAAAATGTTTTTATAAATTAATTGTCACAGAAATATACTACAGAGAATACCCTTGGCTGGAAGATACAGCGGTACGAATTTTTGACAAAGGTTTGTTGCCAACAAACAAAAATTGTTTTATAGCATTAATGTTTTTAACGTAATCATCATCGAGGGGTACTATCCTGTTGAAAGACTTACTTTGTTTTCAACGTAATTCTACGTACCAAAACAAAATGTTTTCAAAACTTCTTGACAAATCTCATAGAACCTATGTTGTATTTGTTAGAGCATCACCATACCAAATTTGATAATACTCGAATAAACCACTCCTGAAGATATATAGCAAAACAGAGACCAACATACGGATATACCTGCACTTATCCACGCATACATTTCTCGACGCATCGGAGTGCCTCGAGCCTAAAAATGCATACAAAAACCGGTTGAAAAATTCAACATGCATGAACGAGGACATGTATGCATATTGATCTGTTATGCTTTAAATTTCAGAAGTGGTTTGGCATAAAATCGTAAAATTTGCTGTGCTGACTTTTATATACGAGCTATTAATTTTCGAAAATCTCTGTAGGGACATATTAACGTTTGTGCAGCTGAAAGAGAAGGTTGGCTAACTTGAACTCCTAAATTGTCATATTTCGAACCAGAGAAGTAGAAAATATTTTAGATGTACTTTTATATTCCCTTCAAAAAACTATCAAGAGTCTCGGGTAAAAAATCGATTAGTTTGTAAGTTACGAATTTTGTCCCAAATATAGTCCTCACAGTGTGCTGTGGGAAATTCCGTTTCGAAGTTCGAAGGTGAAAAAGCGAGTCGCCTGCGATCCAGCGGCTAAGAACGAGCTGGTATGCGCGGTTTTATCATTAAAGGAACGCCCGCAATGGGAACTTTCGTTGGCCGGAATAACGATCGAGATTCGAACGGCGGTGTTATTTCGAAATCACACGGTACATGAGTCTAATTGAACGACTTCCTGCGGCGTCGCGCTAACGGGGAACAGATTTCGGATCCGCGGGCGTAACTCGCGGCCGACGATTCGAAACTCCTCCGAAAACGAAGGACCGATTCGCCCGCGCGCTGCAAACTTTGAGATAGGAGCAAACAGAGCGAAACCCGGTGAAAAAGGGGGCGAGAGAGACCGGAGCACGAGCCGGGTTAAAGTTGGGGTGGGCGAAATACGCGGAGACAAAGATAGACATCGAAAAAAGGAAAACAGAACGAGAGGGAGGGAGAAAAGAGAGGTGAGAGAGGAGAAACGGAGTCGCTAGGTCGAGGTGGCGCGTAGGTGGAGAACGTCGAGGGTAGGAGACGATGGGGGTAGGGGGACGGTCGGTTGACAAGGGTGGGTGGCAAGAGAAGAAGTCCCCCGGAGCTCTCCTCCACCAACTTTATAATTCTTGCGACGCTTTTGGGGAATGAGATTGTCGGCGTTGGGGTAGGGGTATAAAGGGGAGGTTTAAGGTAGTCCGCTGGCGCCAGTGACGTCTGCCGAATAGCTGCTGACTTCCAGACTCCTGTAGTTTCGGCTAAGTGGTTCCCTTTTGCCCCACTTGAACGTCTGCACACCTTCCACCCGCACGTCGCACCTATCGACGCTGAGGAATCGCCGATTTATATCGACTCGCGGAATCGTCTGATTTACAGCCACTGGTCATCCAATTACGATTCACATGCAAGACTTTCACTTTTCTAACTACAACGCTGTATCGTAAATGGCAAATTGTCCTTTTTGCTGTTTAACCCTTTGCACTCGAAGCCATTTCGTTACAGAATGCGCAAACAGAAATCATGTCGTATTACATAATGTGTTAGGTTGGTAAGAAATTAATGTCGGTTTCTGAACTTTCGAACTTTGACACTGGGTTCTGGAATAACAGTTTACTTTATTCTATTTGCGTTCCAATATCATCTTACAGTGCCGATGTCGCGCTGCATGCTGATAGGTATGGTGTTGTTTTTACTGTTAATTTGTGCTCACTTCAAATTATTTACTTCGCAGTGGATACTTCGCAAGTTCGAGTAATGGCGCGTTTACACGCTCAAGCTATTTGCACAAACCGGCTTGGGCAAGCCAATTTGTGCAAATGAACTGAATGAAATATAGCCCTTCGTTCGTTCAGTTCAATTTGCACAATTGTGAAGTGAGGAACTCCGAAAAATGTAGTTTATTAACTTCTTTTTTTATAATCAATGATATTGTACATATTCTTGAAAATCTTTAAAATAGATATAGTCCAAACAACGAGTACTACTTAATGTAATTTGAGAAATTAACAAGAAGATACGAAAAATCGGCAGAAATGTAGAAGCAATAAGTAATTGTAAAATATATAGAATTGTATAGAAGCAATATGTTATTGTAAAATTGTATCTGAAATGAAAAATCTGGAAGAATGCGCACGCCTGAAATTGTAACTGAGGCTTGAACATCGTTTACACGCACCAATCTCAAGCCCAAACTCAAGTCGATTTTCTGTCAGGACAGATTTATCTCAAGCCAAATTTTTTGGCTAGCGCAAACTTCATGGCTGCGTTCACACGCTACGATTTACTTGTGGAAGCCAATTTGTGCAAATAACTTGAGCGTGTAAACGCACTCTAATATTCTTATATGAATATAAACTGGGTCATAAAGCTGCAACTGCGACTTGTAATATCAACGATGCATTTGGAGAAGATACCGTAAATGAACGCACGGTACAGCGTTGGTTCAAAAAATGTCCAAGTGGAGATGAGAGCCTCGAAGATGAAGATGGTCGCGAACGCTCTCCTCTTGTTGATAACGACCAATTGAAGCCACTGGTTAAAACTGATCCACGAACAACTGTTCGACAACTTGCACAGGAGTTGGGTGTAAGCCATCCAACAATTATTGACCACCAGAGACTGCTAAGAAAATCAATTTGGGTTGCACTTTACTTTGGCGGACCTACAATTTTTAATTTTTTTTTTTTACATAATCCTGTAGATTTCGGTAAGAAAAATCCGAAAGTGCTCGTTTTAAAGCGAGGAATCCACTTCAGAAGTTATGAGCGATTAAAAGTCGGCATTTTACCGTATTTGACTGACATTTTTCGACGCCATATTGCCTTATATTTATACCCTGTCGTTGAATTCCTAATAAAAGGGACTATCATTGTACACATTTCAAAAAGGGTTGGTCCATTTAAAAAAATGAAGGTGATCCTGATATCTTAAAAAAATGACATAAAAACAAAAATGTTTTTAACATCGTGCGAGCCGCATTCGACCATTCAACTTTGTCTTTATAATATTTGATGTATCTTTAAAAGTAACAAAGATATTTGAGGTGCTAACGTTAGGCGACTCACTCTGTGTACAACCTTGACTAAAACTGTTAATCTTTGTTACATAGTCAAGTAACGGTACATCGTATTAGTCTTCAATCATTCCACTGTCAGAATTTGACATTCGTGAGATAAAATGAAATCTTAAACAGTTCGATAAGATCTGTAAGATTTATGCTTGCGCAGCACATCTTATATAATTCTCTATAGTTTCTCGTCTTGTGGTACCACCCGCGTTTAATTTTTAAAGGAATCGCTAAGAATTTATCTTCATTTAAAGGGTTATCGGGAAAGAAAACGCGCGATAAACCCTAGAATAGAGTACTATCT